TGCAGGAATCTTAGCTGTGAAGGCTCTCTTGGTGGTGCTGAATGAAATCTGTGACTTGGCAGTGGGTCCTCTTCCCAGGCCTGAGACCTCTTCTTCCCCTTGAGTTTCAGCTTATGACTGCTGAGGCTTCCTTTCAGTGTCAGTTGAATGCTTTCCTCTTTCACCAGATTTTCTGTGAGTCCTGGAAGGCTTGCTCCCTGCCTTGCAGGCCCTTTCCCACCTGGCCTGGGAGAGCAGGGGCCTCGATTGACTCCAACTGCAAAGGCCGAGGCTGCTGAAGAGGCCAGAGACCATCTTGGCTCTCTCTTAGCGCAGACCCAGCTCATTGAGCCTGAACTTCCTCAGCCACCACCTGCCATGAACCGCCATGGGCAGGAACTGGCAGCAACAGCAGCAGATAGGTTTTGTACTTACGGTAATATTTTACTCTCTTGTTTAATTATGCTGTTTTGAATGCACATTTTATATTTGACTTCCTTTAGCAATGTTTTCTTTTGAAACGTTTATGATAATTTTGTTGTTGTTAACTTTGCTGCGTTAAATGTGCATTCTGGAATGTTATACTTCCAACTCTTTAAGAGAATATTTTAGTTTCCTGTTAGTTATGTTTCTTTGAATGTATACTTTGAACTTGACTTTCTTAAGTAATGTTTGGCTCTGGATTGTTGTATTTGATGTTTTAATGTAAACCTCTTTGAGAGTTTTTCTTAAAAATATAAAGTCGTATAGAAACTAATAATAACAACTGCTGCTGCTGCTTCCCTATACAGGGCTGCCTTCAGATGTCTTCTAAATGTTGTATAGTTACTTATCTCCTTGGCTCAGGGGTTGGATAATTCCATACCCTCCAACATTTCTCCAATGAAAATAGGGATGTCCTAAGGAAAAGTGTGACATTTCGGGATCAAATCAGAAACCAGCTTCTCTAAATCCGGGACTGTCCTTGGAAATAAGGGACACTTGGAGGGTCTGCACCCACTCACACACCCCTCTCTATCCACCATCCAGGCAAACAAGGTGTATGATCAGAGATCAAGCATCTGTTCCAGGAAAATCCAAAATATGGGTTGCCATGTTTTTAAAAGTGAAAATCTGGACACAAAAGATGTTTAGTTTTGCCCAAAGTCTCTAAAAAGAAGAAGTTTTTGAGCGTTTTTAAATGAAATTTACCGAAATCTACACTTCCAGCATGGGTTGCCATATCCCTGGAGTTTCCTGGAAATTTCAGCAATTTCCGTACGGACACTGTTTCCCAATGGCTGAATCCCAGCTATGTTCAGGAAATTCTGGACGCAGGACAACCCTAAATAGGAGCAGTGAGGGATGTTGCCTGGTGAGAGTCCCAAAGGTCAGGCAGGGTGCCTTGGAGGGCCACACAAGGTCCCCTTTCGCCGCTCTCAAGGCAAAGACCCTCCCCTTCAAAAAGTCAGCCAAGGACACACACACACATTTTGGCTCCACACCTTATCTGTTTGAAAGGATCGTCCTGACATGGTTAGAGCCCTGCAGCTTATACAGTATGCATGAATAGTCAAGAAACACCACCATACAAGGCCAGATTTAGGTTTGATGAGGCCCTAAGATACTGAAGGTAATAGGGCCCTTTATATGCCCAGCTGTGCTTTGCCAACAACAAATTGTCACTGTTTTCGTGTGTTGAATATATGGTAATTTATGGACCTAATAGATATCTAAAGCCATTTGCGCATAACAAATAGGAGCATACACAACACAAAACACTGTTGCTGTAGGTAGGTTTTATTTTATTTGTTTTTTATCTTATATTTTGGAAACCTACATCCAGTTGTTGTTTTTCTTTTAATTTTTGGGGGGGCACCCAAGAGAGTGGGGCCCTAAGCTATAGCTTGTTTAGCTTATACGTAAATCTGTCACTGCCACCATATATAAATATATATCTGAACAAATCCTCAATTAGAGAAAGAACCATTTATTTTATCACTTTTAAAACATCATAATTCATCACCATCATACAACAGTCTTTAGCTTAACACGTTTCTTTTTAGAAAAACAAAAGGCCCCAAAGGTTACTTGCAAAATTATATATATATTTCTATATATTTAATACCCAAAAATACACTGCATATATAAACTAGAAAATACATCTTTCAGGAATGTTTCATTTTGCAAAATAGGATTGACCCACATTCCAAAGAGCAGAAACATGGAGAAAGATTAGCTTGACCTCTTGTTTTTCTTCAGCAAAGAAACAGCATCAGTGCTTGGGTTGTATCCAGCCAGCGTCTCCTCTAGAGTAGATGCATTGGAATTAACAAAACTAATCTAGTCATAGTTACAGATAGGTAGCCGTGTTGGTCTGCCATAGTCAAAACAAAAAAATTCCTTCCAGTAGCACCTTAAAGACCAACTAAGTTAGTTCTTGGTATGAGCTTTCGTGTGCATGCACACTTCTTCAGATACCGATGGACTTCCATTTCATGCGGCTCAATGTGGTGCCTTCCATAGTTCCAGTTACAGATAGGTAGCCGTGTTGGTCTGCCATAGTCAAAACAAAAAAATTCCTTCCAGTAGCACCTTAAAGACCAACTAAGTTAGTTCTTGGTCGTGTGCATGCACACTTCTTCAGATACCTGGTATCTGAAGAAGTGTGCATGCACGCGAAAGCTCATACCAAGAACTAACTTAGTTGGTCTTTAAGGTGCTACTGGAAGGAATTTTTTTGTTTTAATCTAGTCATGTGTGTTTATTTCAATGGGTCTACTCTGAGCAGGACTAGCATGGGATACTGCCCGTTGTCATGTAAGCTTTTCTAGATTGTGCTTGGGATGGTACATGCAAATTGGAGGTGTCAGTCTTGTGGCTGGGGGAAGACTTACAACCAAATTTCTGCCAACTTCATTCAGATCATGATAGCCCAAGGTTGGGTGGACCTGTGGCCCTCAAGATGCTGTTGTTGGACCCTCCAATCCCCAACAGCCAGCATGACCAATGGTCAGGGATGGTGGGAATAGTAGTTCAGCTGAATCCGGACAGCTACCAAAGATTCCTCATCCCAGAAATAGATTTTTATGGCCTTTTGCCACTGTGGTTTTCAGGTAAGATCTTCTGGGAACCTTTTCTACACTGACTTGTCTTCTGAGGAAACCCTGGCACACCTGTCATGGGACTAGTGTGTCATGGAGGGTCCTGAGATGGCTTCTGGGGAGCACTCTCAGGTCTCTGAGGCCCCACCTTCGTCCTTCTTGGGACACACCCAAGAGAACACTCTTGTTGGTGTGGATTTTATGAAGCGGCTGCTTGTGGAGGGCAAACTGGAGGTGGTGGTGGGTTTTTTTGGAAAGTGTGTCCAGCGTTAGGAACACAGGGAGCTGCCTTATGCCAGGTCCAGCCATTAGTGGAAGAAGTCCAGGGACCCACTCAGCAGAAGGAGCAGGAGGACTCCAAGACACAGCAGGACTGGCTTACCAGGCACAAGAGTCTGAAACTTGTTCCCAGAGTGGAAACTAATATGATGCCCTCACAATGCCATAGGACTCCAGTTCCCATCAGCATGGCTGGTGGCAAGGGATGATGGGAGTCCCAACAACTTCCACAGGGGGCGCCACAGTAGCTGCTCCTGTTTTGCTACCTAAAGAGGCCCTTTGCACAACACAGGAATAAGATGAATAGCTCAGCTGGTTAGAGTGTGGTGCTGATAACGCCAAGGTTGCAGGTTCGATCCTTATATGGGGCAGCTGCATATTCCAGCATTGCAGGGGGTTGGACTATTATCCTCAAGATCCCTTCCAACTCTATGATTCTATGAAATATTTCTATGAATCTGGAGCTTTGGGCAGGGGGAGGGAACCCCAGGGTCCCCAGAAACACAGAATAAAAACTAGGGATTTAAGTCAACCAATTAATTGTTGAGTTTGAATTATGGCAGAGGTGGGGAGCCTATTTATGGCCCACCAGATTTTGTTGGGCACCCAACCGCCCGCCCCCCAACAGCCCAATCCAGCTTGTTCAATGGTCAGAGATGCTGGAAATTATAACAGGTTCTGCTGGACTAGGGAGAAACAGCAGATTCCAGTTTATAAGTGATGGGTGCTTATTTTGGGTGACAAAATATTTATCGGTTTGTTTGCTTTTAGCCTGGTACCCTGGAGGAAAAATTTGCCGGGTAAAACAAAACTCTGCATCGGGACTGCAACCAGAAGAGCTGAGGCAAATGTCCATTTTAAGGAAGAAATGACAGGCCAGAAATGGTTTGTGCTGTATGACGTGATCATCAGTGTTATTGCATCCATTCTGGCAATTAACAAATCAACCCAGAAGAGTTTTAGTGCCTGTAGAAAGAGAACCTTGCTCTCCTCTCATGGAACCCAACCCTATTTAATCATCACTGTTACATATTCACAGCTTGAATAAAAATACCAGGTGACAGGCATTAATCAGAAATAAACTCAAATGTGAGCTAAAGTGGTATTTTAATTACCCAGAATGTGTTAAGACATATCTACACTATGAACTGAAAGTGGTTTAAATGGGCATTTTCTCCCTTCAGGAAACTCTGGGGCTGTGGTTCTGTGAGGTGATTTAGGGTTTCAAACATACAGTCGTACCTTGGTTGTCCAACTTAATCCGTTCCGGCAGTCTGTTCGACTCCTGGAACTGTTCGACAACCAAGGCACAGCTTCCGATTGGCTGCAGGAACTTCCCAGCACTTAACTAGAAGCAGTGGAAGCCGTATCAGACGTTCGGCTTCCAAAAAGCATTCACAAACCGAAACACTCACTTCTGGGTTTGTGGCGTTCGGGAACCAAAACGTCCGATTACCAAGGCGTTCCAGAACCAAGGTACAACTGTACTCCTGTTCCTCTCATCAGACTTCATTTCCCAGGATTCTCTGGGGGTAGCCATGGCAGTTAAAATGGCACAAAATCAATGTAAGTTTGTAGTGTAGTTGCAGCCCTAGTTTCCGGATATAACCATTGTTCTTTTCAAGACCACGGGCTTGTTTTTCCAACAGACACATTGCATACACTTTCCTTTTTTTTTAAGTTTATTTTTTTTAGCAAAAAAAAAGTTACAAAGCTGCACCCCAAATGTACAGATTGAAAAGATGTACAAATTACATTTTTAAAAACAACACCAACAACAATGGATTTGATAGTAAAAAACAACAACAACTGCATTTGTGACCGAGGTCAACTCGTTTTAGTTTTCATCTTTCTTTTTTAATACTGTGAGATATAGGTAAAAACATAACTCTGCATAATTTATACAGTAAGTTGCCTTCTGACTTGGTTGACCCTCTGAGTAGCGGCCTGACAAACGCACAGCGCTCGTGAATCGGTTATGCTCTCGCAGCCCCTGAAACCCTGGCCAAGCTTGGGAGCTGCTGTCATTTAAATTAGTTCCATTTTGCATTCATAAGACTACCTGCCCATGATCCACTATAACGTCTTCTTTTTCCCTTGGTCTCAGATGCTTCAGGAGATATTAACAAAACTGATACAACAACAATGCACATTCTCAAAAGGTCCTTTCAATGCCCTTGTCTTAAAATATACATATTTATTTATAGGAATATATATATTTATTAATTTCTCTCTCTCTCTTTTTTTTCCAGTTGGGTGAAAAGCAACAAGCCACAATTGGCTTCATAGCTAAGATTCCAGTTGGGTGTCTCCAAACAAAGTCCTATAATATAGGAGCTGGCTTCTGCTTCCGCCCCCAAACCGGAAAACAAAACAAAACAAAAAACTGGTCATCGCCATTAGTCTGGAACAAACAAACATTTATCTTCTAAGACTTAGAGGTCTTGGTCTTTTCCTTCCCAAAACAAAAAAAGAAAAACAAAAAGCGCCTTGGACTTTACAACGCTTTGTCTAAGATCTGAAGTGATAACCACTGCAAATTCCAAAACGCATTCCACTTGGCTCTAGAGAGGATATAAGGCTTAGAACCAAAATAAAACGCGTAATACTGGCCCGCCGGAGAATCCACCTGCCTGTCCAAGACAGAGTTACAAAAAAAGAAAAAGTTGACTCCAATAATAATTATAATAATTATAATATCCAGTTTTTCAGCTTTCTTCCCAACGGAAAGGCACATGTCCAACAGCAACAAGAAAAGAAATGTCCAGAGATATCCACGGATGGAAAAAGAACAGCTCGTCACATGGAGAAAGGCGCCTAGTAGTAGCTGCCCAGGTGCGATGGCATATGGGAGTTGGCATGGCGTGGCACGTTTGGGTTGGGGTAGATGCTTCCTGCCGGGGAAGTCCAATAGGGCGACGCAGCGCCAAAGAAACTGGAGGAAGTGACGGGCATGGAGGAAGGATGTGGAGGCACAAAGTTCACCTTCTGCTGGTGTGCATGGTACGAAGGCACGTAGGAGAGATCCGAAGGGTATTTGTACATGGAGGACTCGGTGGGGTGAGGCTGGAGCGCCTGGGCGATGCCGTGAAAGTCAAACTTGTAGGCATACCTCTTGCCGTGAACCTTGGTCATAATGTTCTTGTCGTAATAGTAGCGCAGGGCCCGGCTCAGCTTGTCGTAGTTCATGTTGGGCTTGCTCTTGCGCTCGCCCCAGCGCTTGGCCACCTCGTCGGGGTCTGTCATTTTGAACTCCCCGTTGGTGCCTTCCCACGTGATGCAGCTGGCGTTGGAGCTGTCAGACAGCAGCTCCAGGAGGAACTGCCAGAGCTGGATCTGACCGCTCCCTGCAAGAGAAGAGGCCACAAATTGCCCAGTTACCAGGAGGTACAATGCCCCAAAGCCAAGGGGCTGGGAATATCATCTGCCAAGTGATAATTAATCAATGCCAAAGTGGCGCAGTGGTTAGAATGCCAGACTGGGACCAGGGAAAGACCAAGGTTCTTTTTTAATATATATATAAAAATATTTATTTGGTTTTTCAAATTAAAATTTTACAGAGATATATCAAAGATATGTCATAAAAACAAGATTCCAAGGAATCTCCTGGACTTCTGTCCTCCCCTTTGTGGGTCCTATTATTAATCATTTCCTTCCGCATCTTTTATGATAATCCAAATCTTCTACATCTCCATTGTGTCCAGAATTCACCCTTAAACTGCAAGTGATATTCCAATACTACTAACGATTTTAATTGTTTACAATGGTCTTTAAGATCAGTTATAATTTTCCCCATTCCTTATTAAAATTTTGGTCTTCCTGATTTCTGATTCTTCCGGTCATTTTAGCCATTTCGGCATAGTCCATCAACTTCATCTGCCATTCTTCTCTGGTAGAGACTTTGTCTTCTTTCCATCTCTAGGAAAGACCAGGGTTCAGTTTCACCAACCTGGGTGAGTTTGGGGGCTGGTCACTGCCTCTTAACCTAGCCTACCTCACAGGGTTATTGTGGGAATTAATTGAGGAAGGGGAGAGGACCATGCAGGCCACCTTGAGCTCCTTGCAGGAAAAGGTGGGCTATAAATGGAATAAAAATATCGGTGGTGGTTTGCCTCCAATGTCCTTCCAAGTCTTGGAGATGTCTATATCCTATTAATCCCAATACCTCCTGGATGTGAGTTGTTCAAGATCAGGCAAAGGCAAACTCGGCCCTCCAGATGTTTTTGGCCTACAACTCCCATCATCCCTAGCTAACAGGGATGGTGGTCAGGGATGATGGGAATTGTAGTCCCTAAACATCTGAAGGGAAGAGTTTGCCTATGCCTGGTGAAGATGATACATGGAATGTATCTTCTCTATCTGTCAGGGTGTGCGTGTGAAATGGTAGCCATTTTGTGGGGGTTGGACTGCAGCTTTAGGAACCCTTTTCTCTATATACTGTAGTCTAGACAAAAACCTCCCTCCTCTGAAGCTGCCATTGCCAGAAGTTGTTGGTGGCACCAATAGCCAGTTTCCTCTGGTGGATATAACAATCCCCCCCTTGATGCAGAGTGACAATGGACTGTCCCCTATTAAACCAGTTGTTCCAAAAATGGGTGATGCTATCCCATGGGGGGTGGAATTACCAAGGAGGGCACTAAGAGGCAAGAGGTGCTGGAGGTGTAAATGAAAATTTTGAAAAGCTGATGTCACTGGATCAAGTACATCAAATTTTGTTGAATTATAGTTTTAATTGGATTTTGAATAAATGTGCAATTAATTGTTACTGTTGCAAATTTTATTGCATTGTGTTCTTTTGAATGATGCTTTTTATAGGGTTGGGTATAGGGCACTGGGGGTGAGTTTATGGAATCAAGGTGGTGGTGGCCTCAAAAGGTTTGAGAACCACTCAATTAAATAGAAGCTTCAGAGGGGATTTTCGTTGGGACTTCATGGGGGTGGTGAAAAGGGTTAAACCCTTCCTCACAGCTCTACTCCTGGTCAGGTTTCCTCCCCCTGCAGCTGCTTTTTTGAAAAACAAGGATGACCAATTATCCCCAGTAAATTTTATGTTTCCCTTTGGGGGCCCCAAACAGCTGGTCTACCTGGTGGCTCCCATGAATAAAATCACAACACTCTGCTCCTTTGTTTTCTGTTAAATAGCAGCCATTGGAGAAAGAGGAAATTCACCTTGTGAACAGCCACTCTGGTCCGCTCCCAACAGAATATTAGAAACAGAATAAAACATCAGACATCAAAAACTTCCCTAAACAGGGCTGCCTTTCAGATGTCTTCTAAAAGTCAGATAGTTGTTTATTTCCTTGACATCTGATGGGAGGGCATTCCACAGGGTGGGTGCCACCACCGAGAAGGCCCTCTGCCTGGTTACAATGTAATCACATGCTCAAAGCAGCTGCAGAAATGCCAGCTACTATTTTGTGAATGAGCAAGCTGGCTGTGGTGAGGTATAAATGCAGATGTAAATCATAAGCTGATCCATCAAGTCAATGCCATACATTGGTTTATTATTTCTTGGACCAGATGAAACTGATTTTTTTTGTTTTGTTTTGCCAATGCAACTGTGATCCACCTATACCTGCCTTCGGAATTGAACAATGACATTCCTTGTGCTTAGGATGTCTGTGTTCAGGTTATGATTTTTCAAGCCTTGTGAATCTTGGCATTGGATTTAGAAAACTCCAGCTAGCCAATATATATTCAACAAACCAACTTTCTTTCTTTCTTTCTTTCTTTCTTTCTTTCTTTCTTTCTTTCTTTCTCCAAAACGAATACTGTGCTCGCCCCTGCCCCCCCCCAAAGGTCTCAGCTAACAGGAATGCTCCCTGGACAGAAACCCAGTGACCTTAAACTAAAACAACATGTGACCCCAATAGTTGGTGAGTGTTTCATTGAATGGGGTGGGGAGGGGTGGGACCCAGAGTGAGAACTGCAGCCCATACAGGAGATGAGAGCCATAAGGTATTGATCTAAGAACTGGAGAGATAGAATGAGCCCATGGGCTGTTAACCTGTTGACCCACTAGACTCACCTGGGTTGGCTAAACGGCTGCTGGTAGGTCCTAAAATCTGGTAGGGATCTAAGTAAAGAGACCAACAAAAGGAAAAGAAAATTAGACACTGTTCAGTCCTCTGCACCAAAGACTACTTATCACAGCTGCAAACTGCAATGTTATTGTTAGCTTCAACGTGATGCTATTTCCACTGTCCATAAGAGCACCTGAGAGATCCCTGCTTGCTGTTCGTTTCCTGGGTAACCAATAGTTATACAGAGAATATTTATTAAGGGTGTGAATCACCTCTGTGTACTTTCTGAATTACGAGGCAAATAGGCATGATTTGGGTAAGCTTAAAACCACTCTTATGTCATAGTGGTATAATAATAATAATAATAATAATAATAATAATAATAATAATGCTCCACCCATCTGGCTGGGTATATACATATTTTTCTAAGGGAATAAACTTCCGACACCAGTACCTGGCTGGGGTCGCTGTTGCTCCACACTCTTGCTCACAGCTTGCGTCCCTCCCAGAGGAGGACCTGGGGGTATCAGAGAAACAAAAGCATTTCAGATCGCAGGAGAAAAAAGGAAACAGATTCCATGCGCAATAAAAGAAGACTATGTAATACGGTATTTGAAGGCAGACCTTGTCGCCATAGTCCGTGTTTTTCACCATGAGCGATGCTGTTGAAGTTCTCCTGAGCCAGGCTGAGCAAGAGACTTTGTGAGCTCAACAAAGCCTGCCTGGGAGAAGAGGTGAGCCTTACCAGCACCTGGAGTTTTCTCTGGTTTGGATTCAAATCCAATCCAGAGAAGAATTCCCAGCTGCCCTGCCCCACCTCACCACTAGGCCACTCTGTCCTTCAACCCCCACAGTCCTGCTGGCTTCCCACCACTCCCATAAATATTCTCAGATTGACTCAGTCAATCCAAGGTCCTCTTCTTTGTGGTCTGTTTATGCAGGCCTTCCAGATATCCTACAACAGTTTGGGTCTCTCTGTTTTTGTAAGAACAAAAAAGCAACCCTGTGCATTTTAATCATAGGGGTGTTGTGTGCCCTATTTCCATTGCATTTGTTTAGTTGATAAGTCAGTCAGTTTTATTGTATATAGCCAAAGGCCTTTACAACAGAGAATAAAAGGAAACTTTCCTCTAAAACAGGCATAGGCAAACTCGGCCCTCCAGATGTTTTGGCACTACAACTCCCATCATCCCTAGCTAACAGGACCAGTGGTCAGGGATGATGGGAGTTGTAGTCTCAAAACATCTGGAGAGCCGAGTTTGCCTATGCCTGGTCTAAAATCATACAACGTAACCTGTAGCAGTTTGCACCATAAAAAGAAATTTACAGCATTAAAACTTAAGATTGGAGTGCAGTCACATAGCTGGAATGGAGCTTCTTGGCTGCCAGAGCAAATTTGGCTACCTGGTGTGTAATATATACCTGTAGATATTTATCTGCTAGGAGTTCAACTGCTATGTCCTGTGCAGATTGACCTGGAAGCCATTTAAGAATTGGCAGTATAAATTTTCCTCTGGGTGTTGTATACAGGAGGCAAATCAGCAGATAGTGTGTGATGTCCTCTGCCAGATTGCATCCATGTATACATTTGCAATCCATATGGGGAATTTCCTTATATCTCCCCTCCAAATATGCTATGAGCATCTGTTGAAATCTTAGTTCCACAAAGGCCCTGCGTAGTTGTGGGAAGGTCAGAGTCTCAAGGTAATGGGGCCTTGAGTGATTGGTCTTAATTTGGGGGGTACCAAGTAGAGTAATGGGTGGCAATGATGGATGCTCTGTCTTGGTTGGCGTCCTAATCAAAAATCCAATTTCTAAGGTCACATGGGCTAAGTAGTTCTCCATTTGAAAATTATAAGCCCTAAGTTTCTCTTGGCACTTTTGTGCCCAGTTCCCTGTCCTTAGTTGCTCTAACCAGCAGAGCTTAGTATGAGTATGATCTTTGAAGGCATTTAGCCTGTGCCAGTATCTCAGATAGGCTAGATCATGGGTAGGCAAACTAAGGACCGGGGGCCGAATCCGGCCCAATTGCCTTCTAACTCTGGCCCACATACGGTCCGGGAATCAGTGTGTTTTTACATGAGTAGAACATGTCCTTTTATTTAAAATGCATCTCTGGGTTATTTGTGGGACATAGGAATTCGTTCTTTCCCCCAAAAAAATATAGTCTGGCCCCCCACAAGGTCTGAGGGACAGTGGACCGGCCCCCTGCTGAAAAAGTTTGCTGACCCCTGGGCTAGATCAATTGTGGCTGCTAGTAAGGGGTGTCCCACAGGGAAGCCCCAAAATCTGCCTATTGCGGGACCTCTCTTTCAGATTTAACACCAATTCCCCATATCTCAGCCCTGTAGAGCCTTTGGGCAATGACCTTTGTCTCTCTAAAAAAATAAATCTTAATGGCTGGGTTGATTAACTGTCCACCCTTTGAATGGAAGAACCTATATAGCTGCCCAGTAGAATGACCCAGATATAAGCTTAATTGCTTCCAGGTGGGGTTTCCATCATGACTTCCCATCCATAAGTAATCCTAGATATTTAAATCTGGGTACTTCCTCAAGGGTGTGACCTCCTGAACTTGGTAGTCCTCTTGCCAAATACAGTGACCTTGGTTTTATCATAGTTAAGTTTTAGATGCTCTTTTTTTTACACAGTTGTCCAAATTTAACCAGCATCCTTCTAAGTCCGATTTTATTCTGAGATAACAAAACAAAATCATCAGTGTAGAGCAGAATTGGCACTTTACGATTCTCAAGGGTGGGGGCGAGAAAGGATGGGGATGCCATATCAGGGATGAGATTATTGATATACTAATTAAATAGGAAGGGTGCCAGTATACATCCTTGCTTGACACCTCTGTTAATTGGAATTGCCTTGAAGGCCCACTCTCACTTGCATGAGGTTCCCTCGATGTTGGGTGAGCCAGATAAGTCTTTTATCTATATTTGAATGAGCCAGTTTCTTCCATAGCTGTCCCCTATGTATTAAATCAAAGGTTGAGGAGAAGTCAACGATTGCAGCATAGAGAGTCCTATGCGAGTTTTTGGTGAATTTACAGATTAGGTGGTACAAAACAAAAACTTGATCTGACCTTCATAAATACTGCTTGCATTTATTTAGTTTTGATTTCAATGCTTTCTAAAAATGTTTCATTTTATATTTACATTGTTTTATGACTCTAAGCAGCCCAGAAACTTTGTGCTCCGAGGGGATGCTAAAGTAAACATCCCCTCCGCAATGTTAACTGATGTCTGTTTGAAACTTTTTAAAGGTTTTTATTGTATGTTTTTAAAGCTATAAACTGCTTTGATTTTTTTTATGATACAACGGCATACAAATATTTTAAATACATGAATAAATAAATAAATAAATAAATAGATGAGTTAGCTGAGCAGAGCTCCCACTGAAATTAGGGGGAGTCAAGTGAAGTCATGCCTAACTTGTCATGAGTCCTTTAATAAAGCCCATGTTTCATAAATCAAGTCTGAATCCAACCCAATATTTATGCATGTTTACTAATGGAAGTTCTTGAGATGGCTTAAACTAAAATTAAAACACAGTAACACAGGCGGTTGGGACTTCAGCGTCACTTAACCCCATTCCTTCATGGTATGAACATCAACAGAGCCAATGGCACTGCTCTCCCTTTCTATATCTCAGCTGAACACCTTGTGTTCTCAAGCCAAGAGACAGATGAGAGTGACAGCTGAGATGCCTAACCGAAGAAATCTGCCGAAGTCTCTGCTTATTTTGAGGTCAAAATGGGTTAAAGATTCTCTCTTTCCTTTATGTGAGAGGAGGACACAGCCATTGTTGTAGCGCTTAATTCAATTTTTTTAAAAGTTAAACAGAATATGCCATTTGCCATCTAGGCCATCGGCAACTCACTTTTGTTGTTGTGGCTGGAGTTCATGCTATTGCCCCATCCTGATCTTCTGACTGCATCATAGGAAGAAGCATCTAGGAAAAAAGAAGAAGCAAATGTTTCACTTAGAGCAGGGCACAGAGGCAAGAACGGGAGGAAAGAATGGCTGGTGTTAGGAGGTGGTTTAAAATTTGTGCTTGCTTTTGTTACAATCTAGGGATTGAGGTCAGCTAGTGCCCTCTGAGATGTCCATTAACCATGACTCCTGCCTTCCCTGACCATTGGACCTGCTGGCTGGGACTGATGGGAGTTGGAATCCGACAGCATCTTAAGGGCCACAGATCCCTCGCTCCTGTTGTCCTGGATTTGCTGCAGCCAACCGGTGTGAGAGGTGGGCATCACCATCAGCAGCTGTGAGGTGCTCTGAGACATCTGAAAATTCAAGCTGAGCCCAGGAGATGCAGCATGCAAATAACGGACGTAGCCAATAGCACCTTGAAAAGAATACCGTATTTTTTGCTCTATAAGACTCACTTTTTCCCTTCTAAAAAGTAAGGGGAAATGTGTGTGTGTCTTATTATGCGAATGCAGGCTGCCCAGCTATCCCAAAAGCCAGAACAGCAAGAGGGATTGCTGCTTTCACTGCGCAGCGATCCCTCTTGCTGTTCTGGCTTCTGAGATTCTGAATATATTTTTTCTTGTCTTCCTCCTCCAAAAACTAGGTGCGTCTTGTGATCTGGTGTGTCTTATAGAGCGAAAAATACGGGTATGTAGGAAGCGGAGACAGGGGGTGTCCTGTTTCACATGCAGAGGGTGCTCATGCCAAATAGACCACAGGCACCATCTTCCTGTGGGACCTTTTAAAAAATGTGAACACCCTTGTTGACACCTAACCCTAAGCCAAATCGTAACCTCTCTTACCATTTGCCTGCCCTCCCTCAGCCCTCCTCTTGCCCTTTTTGTTGACTCACTGCCTTGTTTTGCTTCTTGGTGGCAGTTGCAGCAGTCCTAGGACGTTGGGGTTGGACTCGATGACCTCTGGGGGTCCCTTCCAACCCCACATTTCCATGATTCTATCATCTGAATACTCAATGTGTGTACATGCTGGCTTTGATCTTTTCCAGCCAGCAATTCTGCTAAAAAAATATTAATAAATCCTGGAATTTCCATGTTCCAAGAGAGCAAGAATTTTGCCTCAGGGTAACAGCTCTGAATCAACAGGATTTGAAACCGGGAGATATTATTGAATGAGTATCCACGGGACCAAAGCCTAATACCAAAAGGAGTAACAGGGAGAGCCACAGCCTTACTCAACAAGAAAAGAACCAGCATTTCTAAAAACTAAATGCTTCCGACATTTTTCCATCAGCAAATGAGATGCCCCATTTTTGTGGCTCATTGTTTTTTTATTTTCAAAACAAAACAGCATTATGGAAGTATAAAACTACAACAGTGCTGCCTGCACAGCACTTCTGTATAGCACAGGTTCACTAGACTCTGGTCCAAGGTCACCTCCATGGCGTGCATTTAAAGAAATTTTATGCCACTGTTAACACTCACAGAGAATCTTGGGAAATGTAGTTCTGCCCTCCCGGAGCTACAGTTCCTGGCACCCTTTGCAAATTATGGTTCCCAGGATTCTCCATGACTGTTAAAAGCTGTATAGGGAAAGGGAAAGGGACCCCTGACCATTAGGTCCAGTCGTGGCCTACTCTGGGGTTGCAGCGCTCATCTTGCTTAATGGCCAAGGGAGCCGGCGTACAGCTTCCGGGTCATGTGGCCAGCATGACTAAGCTTCTGGCGAACCAGAGCAACACACGGAAACGCCGTTTACCTTCCCGCTGGAGTGGTACCTATTTATCTACTTGCACTTGACGTGCTTTCGAACTGCTAGGTTGGCAGGAGCAGGGACCGAGCAATGGGAGCTCACCCCGTCGCAGGGATTCGAACCGTCAACCTTCTGATCAGCAAGTCCTAGGCTCTGTGGTTTAACCCACAGCGCCACCCGCGTCCTAAAAGCTGTATAATCATGTATTAAATGTACAGAGTAGATGTGACCACACCGAGTCAGTGAAATAATATACTTTGCAAAGAAGAAATTGCCAACCTACCAGTTTGAGAAAACTTTCGGTCCTTGTCAATTATTTTCAGTTCTATTTTTCAAAAAATAATAAAAACCCCACCACTCAGCAGCAAAGGGGTCTTTCTGTCGCTTTCCTTTAGCCACAAGTGCAAATTCCCATCCCTGCCATCTGGCGAACCTGGCACTTGAGAGACCCTTGAAAGGGCAGTTTTGAAACAAGTCCTGAGATAATGCTCTTGGGATGGGAAGGAGAACAGCTTTAATCTCCCAAACGAATTAAAGCCAGAAGATCCTATTGTCTGCTCCTTTTGGGAATGACAAAGACTGCAAAAATTGTCAGATGGAAAAAACCCCTCATGTTGTTGTCTATTCCAGCTGGCGCAGGGAAAGCTTCCTTGGTATTTTCCTGGTTTCGTTTTTTAAACGTTAGAAGCTGGTGTGGATTTTTTAAAACAACAACAGACAAACAGAGGCAGAGTCATCTGTATGCATGATGCATGTTTCGTCAGTTATTTGTGTGTATTTGCGTGTATGCGGGATGTGGGATGGTTGTGGGACTGTCTCATCGCCCAGGGATTAGCTTGCTAGGAACACAGGAAGCCACCTTATACTGAGTCAGCCTATTGGGCCATGCAGCTCAGTACTGTTTGCACTGACCGGCAGTGGCTCTCCAGGGTTTCAGGCACAGATCTCTACCAGGTGTCCCTGGAGATGCCTGGGACCTTCTGCATGCAAAGCAGGTGCTCTACCACTGAGCTACAGTCCTTCCCCTAAAAACAAGCAAGATCCCAGTCCTCAACGTTCTGCAATAGAAACACGGGAATCTCCCTTATATGGAGTCAGTCCATTGGCCCAACACTACAGCTAGAATGGAGAAGAAGTGAGGCTAAAAGCTGGGACAGCTCAGTTGGTGGCACATGAGGATCTTAATCTCAAGGTCATGGGTTCGAGCCCCACGCTGGACAAAAGATTGCAAGGGGTTGGACTAGATGACCCTCGGAGTACCTTCGAACTCTACCATTCTGTGCTTCTATGATTCCAGCTGAAACCTGTGAGGGAGACACGGCCCCAGGAAGAGGAGCTTTGGGTTGGGAATTTTGGAATCAGCAACAACTTAATGAGTGCATTTCCACATCTTTCCAAAATGACAATGACAATAGTTGCTCAGGGGAGCCAACATTTTTCTGGTTCTCTGGCTCCAAAGCCCACCCCCCCCTGCCATCAGCCAAATGAATGCAATGTGTGCACCACGGCAGCACTCGGCAGCCACCTAACCCAGAGCCTTGCAAAATGTGTTTCAGACACAATGAGGCATTCTCAGCCAGGGAAGCAATCCAGAGCACGGGGTTTCTGTTTATTTATTTTGCAAAAACAATCCCATTCTTGTGACAGAGCTCGCAGCCAGCCTGTTGCGTTGGGCAAAGTTGGCAGGAGACGCTGGATTTCAGCCCCCCACCCCAGCCAAACACTGAGATGCAGCTCTGAGCTATGGAAGTTGGGGGTAGGGTCAGTATGGATGATGCTTCGAGTCCCTTCCAATTATTGGGATTTTGTATCGGGGGGGGGGGGCTAGAATGTACGAAAACAAGATGGCCAGACTAACCACTTCGTCTAGGCAATGGCCATGGCTGACTAGTCAAGCATCGTGATTAATGTACAGTGGGACCTCTGGTTGTGAACAGAGGCCTGTTCGCAACATGAAAAGAGCGCAACCCACAGTGGCGCGTCTGCACACACGCGGGTTGCGATTCGCTGCTTCTGTGTATGCGCGTGATGTCATTTTGTGCTTCTGCGCATGCGTGAGCGGCGAAACCCGGAAGTAACCCTTTCCGGTACTTCCGGGTCACCGCGGGACGTAGCCTGAAAGAACGTAACATGAAGCAGACATAACACGAGGTATGACTTTAATGAAATAAATTGCTCTGTGCCATAGAACAAATGGATGTGCCTTACTGCCCGGCCCATAGAATGAATGGGTGGTGCTTCCCCTTCCCCTAGATGCAAGGTGAGGGGAAAATAGGGGAAGAGTGAGTGTGTGGGAGCTGATTAGAAAGCAAGCTGGAAGCTGGAGACACAGAGACCTGCTTGCTCTGTGCTGGATCCAGAGCTGAAACTAATTGAGAAGCAGTATCTGTTGGGGTATTGATGCTGGGAGCCCCTCCATCCTGTGCTCAGGTTAAATATGTGTGGAAATATATCCAATAGACACCACAGTCTCTGCTGAGCTTCATTCCAAGGAAACCAAACCCGGGTAAGCGCCTGGAATCCCTGCAGTCTCTCACCACTAGGTGACCCTCCCAAGTGTCCCTATTTTCCAGGGACAGTCCCAGATTTACAGAAGCCGTCCTAGTTTCTGATCTGATCCCAAAATGTCCTGCTTTTCCTTAGGAGGTCCCCATTTTCATCAGAGAAATGTTGGAAGGTACAGAGTTATGCTACCCCTAAGCCAAGGAGATAAGATACAACTTTTAGAAGACATCTGAAGGCAGCCCTTTAAATGCTAAATGTTTTATTATGCTGTTATCTATATGTTGGAAGCCACCCAAAATGGCTGGGGCAACCTAGTCGGATGGGTGGGATATAAATAATTTGAATTATTATAATTCTTATGGAATAAACAGCCTGAGATGATGGACATTGTAGTTCAATGACTTCTGGAGGGCCAGAAGTCCCCCATAGGTAAAGGGACTCCTGACCATTAGGTCCAGTCATGGCCGACTCTGGGGTTGCAGCACTCATCTTGCTTTAATGTCCGAGAGAGCGGGCGTACAGCTTCCGGGTCATGTGGCCAGCATGACTAAGCCACTTCTGGTGAACCAGAGCAGCGCACGGAAAAGCCGTTTTCCTTCCTGCCGGAGCGGTACCTATTTATCTACTTGCACTTTGATGTGCTTTCGAACTGCTAGGTGGGCAGGAGCAGTGACTGAGCAATGGGAGTTCACCCCGTCGTGGGGATTCAAACCGCCGACCTTCTGATCGGCAAGTCCTAGGCTCTGTGGTTAACCCACAGCG